GAAGCAGGCCTGACTCTGCCGCGGCTTCCAAAAGCTATGAACAAGGGGTCTTCATCCATATGGTCATCACCATCATCACCGTGATCATCACCTTCTCAGCCAGGGAGCCCAATGAATGCAACAAGAAGCCGCCAAAGGAGCCAACAAGATGGCCCCAAAATGCTCCAGGAAGATCTCCGGGCGCCGCAGACGGCGTAAGAAAAGCCCAACGATAATGAATCAACCGAGAAACCGTCTACCCACTCTCCCCATGAGCCCCCTTTGGGGTCGGCGGCAGAGGCGGCAGCCTTAAGATAAGAAAGAAGTACTTCTGAAGATCCCATGGTTGTAATTGGTCCCATGTACAGGTTGCAATTCGCTCCGAACGGTTGGAATTGGGACCAGTCGGTTGTAATTCGTCCCATTTCGGGGGGAGGGGCGGGGGGAGGAGGAGGGAGGGGGGTTTAGGGAGAGAGGGAGGAGGGGGAGGGGAGAGAGGCAGGCCGGAGAAACGTGAGGAGCCACAACCACAGATGGCCCCTCCTCCTCCTCCTCCCCCTCCTCCTCCTCCTCCTCCTCCTCCTCCGCCTCCTCGCGATCCGTCTGGCCCCTATGGGCCGCCAGGCATAGCAGAAAACCGAAACCCCGACACAAACTGAATCCATAGTTTCTCTGATCGTGACCCCGCGCGCAACGACGGGGCGCTCGCGTCGGAGATGAGAAAAACGCGCGCGCGCGGCCAGCGGCCGAGCCCTCACGCCGCTCAGAGCGACCAGCGCCGTGGCCAGCCATAAGTCGCCACACACACACACACAACCCACACCCACACCCACACCCACACCCACACCCACACCCACACCCACACCCACACCCACACCCACACCCACACCCACACCCACACCCACACCCACACCCACACACACACACACACACACACACACACACGGACTGGAGACGACAGAAAGAAAAAGAGGAGAGACAGAAAGAGAGCGACAAAAGAGATACTGCTCTTGACGAAGAAGACGGGAGCGGACACCGAACGATCCGCTGCCCCTCCAGGGGGCTACCATCACAACGGAATTGCTTTGCAGGGGCTGGAGAGAGCAGCGGAGGAGGAGGAGGGCAACGGAGGAGAAGGAGGGAAGCGGAGGAGGAGGAGGAGGAGGAGCAGGAGGAGGAGGAGGACAGGCGAGGGTACGAAAAGCAAAGAAGTAATCCAACATACCTAGAGCAGCACAGGCCAATCTGCCATAGGCGAGCCAGTGCGCGCAACCGGGGACAGCAAGAGAAAGGAAGAGGGAAAACTAGATCATGCTAAACCAAATCAGGCATACAAATACATTATCATAGACAGAGGCATAAGCCCTAGGCACTATACTGAACATAACTGAAGAAAGAGAGGATGAGAGAAAGACAGAGAGAGAGAGAGAGGAAGCACGAACAGAGAAATCAGTACATATATCTATATATACTATATATATATATATATATATATGCACAGAGAGAAACAACAACATCAGGGGAGGGAGAAAGGGATGAAGGAGGTGAGGAGAAGAAGCTCCACCATCCGTTTCCTTCCCTTCCTCTTCGATTCAACCGTACGCACACGTTGGATACCAAACCCGTCGTCTCTGGCCTTCTCGTCTCCTCCTCCTCCTCCTCCTCCTCCTCGTCCTCCTCCTCTACCTCCTCCTCCTCCTACTCCCCCTGCCTCCCCCCACTCAGCAAAATCATCGCCGGGACCCCCTTCACTCCCCCCCCGACCCCCCCTGACACATCCAGCCTTCTGAGGCCTCTGGGCATGGATTTTTCGTAGGTTTCAAGAACCCACCTATCGGCAAAATCCTCGCCGAGACCCCCCGGTCCCCCGCTGACACTGCCAGCCACCTGAGGCCTGTGGGCATAAGGTTTTGCGCATGTTTCAAGGCCCCCCCCCCTCAGCAAAATCCTCACCGAGACCCCCCCGACCCCCCCTGACACAGCCAGCTCCTGAGAAGCTCTGGGCAGGGGTTTTTCGTAGATCTGAAGGCCCCCACTCAGCACACTCCTCGCCGGGACCCCCTTCGCCAGCCTCTTCGGAAAACGTAGAAGTACATCTCTCCGCCGACCCTTTTGGGGGTCACCGGCATGTGCGGTGCTTCCCCCTCTCGGGCCATCTGCAACCCCACCTTCGGCCCACCTTCCCGTTGCGCTGAAGCAGGCCTGACTCTGCCGCGGCTTCCAAAAGCTATGAACAAGGGGTCTTCATCCATATGGTCATCACCATCATCACCGTGATCATCACCTTCTCAGCCAGGGAGCCCAATGAATGCAACAAGAAGCCGCCAAAGGAGCCAACAAGATGGCCCCAAAATGCTCCAGGAAGATCTCCGGGCGCCGCAGACGGCGTAAGAAAAGCCCAACGATAATGAATCAACCGAGAAACCGTCTACCCACTCTCCCCATGAGCCCCCTTTGGGGTCGGCGGCAGAGGCGGCAGCCTTAAGATAAGAAAGAAGTACTTCTGAAGATCCCATGGTTGTAATTGGTCCCATGTACAGGTTGCAATTCGCTCCGAACGGTTGGAATTGGGACCAGTCGGTTGTAATTCGTCCCATTTCGGGGGGAGGGGCGGGGGGAGGAGGAGGGAGGGGGGTTTAGGGAGAGAGGGAGGAGGGGGAGGGGAGAGAGGCAGGCCGGAGAAACGTGAGGAGCCACAACCACAGATGGCCCCTCCTCCTCCTCCTCCTCCTCCTCCTCCTCCTCCTCCTCCGCCTCCTCGCGATCCGTCTGGCCCCTATGGGCCGCCAGGCATAGCAGAAAACCGAAACCCCGACACAAACTGAATCCATAGTTTCTCTGATCGTGACCCCGCGCGCAACGACGGGGCGCTCACGTCGGAGATGAGAAAAACGCGCGCGCGCGGCCAGCGGCCGAGCCCTCACGCCGCTCAGAGCGACCAGCGCCGCGGCCAGCCATAAGTCGCCACACACACACACCACACACCACACACACACACACACACACACACACACACACACACACACACACACACACACACACACACACACACACACACACACACACACGCACACCTCCCCCTGGAATCGCCCGCCGGCAAGCGTGCCGCGGCCGCCTTCCCCGCGCCCTTCGCCGCCATGCCACCGCTCAGGGCCCGCCACCAGGGGGCCCGCCCTCCGAGCACCCGGATCGCGGGCCGACATCCTTGAGGGCACCGTCACGGCCGAGGTCTTGGTGCACCGACGGCGCGGTGGAGCGCGCGTCCGCAACGGGTCCCCAGGCGTGGGCCGCTGAAGTCCTCATCTCTCCTACTGCTTCTGCTGCTCATCATCGACCTCCCTCCCCCTCCTTCTCCTCCTCCCTTCTGATTTCTCCATTCTCCAGCCTCCCTCTCCTCCTTCTGCTCCGCCTCCTCCTGCTCCTCCTCCTCCTCCTCCTTCATCCTCCTCCTCCATCCTCCTCCCCCATACCTTCTCCTCCTCCTCCTCCTCCTCCTCCTCCTCCTCCTCCTCCTCCGCCTCCCCCTCCTGCTCCTCCTCCTCCTCCTCCTCCTCCTCGTCCTCCTCCTCCTCCTCCTCCTCCTTAGCATCTTTTCCAACTCCACCTCCTCCTGCTCACGCTGCTTCCGCTCGGCTTGGCGAGGCCCGCGCTGTCGGGGCCGCACGCCCGGCCAGGTCGCCCGGCGCGGGCACCCACTCACAGGCGGGCGCCCTAGTGCCTGGCCTGCGCACCCTCCCCGCGGCCAGGAGCTTTCCAGCTAACGCACGCCGCTGATGCAGGGGGCTCCCAGGCTGGAGCACCCGGGGAGGAGTCCACCTGGGGAGGAGTCCACCTGGAACTGGTGGAGTGCCGCGCGGGCGGGGATCCCCTGCGGCACCGCAGTGCACTGGGTGCTGCTCGGGAACACGTTTTTCCTCATACATCCTTTTCACCCCCCAATCATCATCAGCAGCAGCAGCAGCAGCATCATCATCATCATCATCATCATCATCATCATCATCATCATCATCATCATCATCATCATCATCATTAGCATCATCATCATCATCATCATCATCGTCATCATCATCAGCATCATCATCACCAGCAGCATCATCAACATCATCATCATCAGCAACATCATCATAAACATCATCATCCTCGTCATCAGCATCACCGTCATCATCAGCATCAACAGCATCATCATCTTTTATCATCAGCATCATCACCATCATCATCATCATCATCATCATCATCATCATCACCATAATCAGCATCGTCATCATCATCATCATCATCAGCATCATCCAAATTGCCAGCATCATCGTCATCAGCATCATCAACAGCATTGTCATCATCATCATCATCATCATCATCATCATCATCATCATCATCAGCATCATCATCATCATCATGGACATCGTCATCGTCATCAGCATCATAATCAGCAATCATCATCAGCAACATTGTCAACATTTATCATCATCAGCAGCAGCGTCAGCATCATCAGCATCATCAGCATCATCATCATCATCATCATCATCATCATCAATATCCTCCCAACTCCCTCCCTCCTGCTCCTTCCTCCTGCTCCACGTTCACTCCCCACGAATCGCCCTAGGATGGATCCCTCTGGAGACCTGGTGGCGGCAAGGTACCTTCCAGGGCCTGGGCCCAGGATGGATCCCTAGAGGCCTGGTGGCGACAAGGTACATTCCAGAGCCCAGGATGGACCTCTCTGGAGGCCTGGTGGCGACAAGGTAGCTTCCGGGCCTGGGCCCAGGATGGATCCCTGTGGAGGCCTGGTGTCGACATGGTACAATCGAAACGCTCCCACAAGGAACCCTAAATGAGGAACGAGGCCCCTGATCTCCATCAGTTGAAACTAGATCCCCCATCGAAAACCGCAGGACACATTAAGACGAACTGTGAAACTATTAAGAGCACACAGCCCGTCCACAACGAAAGAAATTCCGTGTTCAGTGGCCCGACTGCACCTTCCCCCGACCCATGGACCCGCCACCGGGGTCGGCACTCCGGGCCTTCTCGATGACAAAGCCGTTCGGGTCCCTGCCCTTGGCGGCGACCTGGCACGCCCGGCGGGACGAGGGAGGAGGCTGGCCAGAGGAGGGGAGGCCAGAGGGGAGGAGGGGGAGAGGGAAGAGGAGGCCAGGAGGAGGGACGAGGGAGGCCAGAGGGAGACCGGGAGGAAGGGATGGGGGGAGGCCGGAGGGAGGAGGGGGAGAAGGCCAACCGAGAGGGGGGAGGGAGACTGGCTCGGGGGCATCGGCCTGAACTCGGCGGTGCCCCGCCGATGGATCGGCAACGGACCCCGATGGCGTGACCGAGCACTCCCGTGTAGGATGCGGCTGCCCCAGCCTCGATGTGCGACGAGAGGGCGATGAGGGCGAAGCCTGCGGGCCCCGATCTCACTGCTCCCGGCACCTGGCCGTCCGTGTCCAACCGAAGGCCAGATGGATAGGCGGAGATGCCCATGGCCACGCCCGCAAGAAGATGCGCGCATGTAGATACCACCTAATGAGTGTATCGACGAATGCACACTCGGATGCCATCGTGCCTGACTGAACATCATCCGGGCAGCCGTAAGGCGTTGTACTTTTCAGCGGCAGCGGCGATCAAAGCCCTGAGACTCAGGAACTTAAGTACGGATTAGGACGATCGGGTACCAGGAAAAGAACTGTCCCAAAACAATAATATGAAAAAAACACTCATGCATCAGAAGGCAACGTCGTGCATGTACGGAGGCCTGGAGCTACATTCGCTCCCTTCCTTCAATACCCTTCACTCCCACACACAGTTTCGGCCCTAAGTCCGTCAGACATTGGACTCCGTGGTCCCCTATCGTCTCTGAGCCTCATCAACCCAGTGGTTGGGTCAACGAACACGCACAAACTATGCCAATACATCGGCGTTCCGAAATATGTCGTGGCGACATGCAGTGCATTCATCTTGCATTGCCAAACACAAGATCCTGTCTGGTGGGATGTGGAAAACCGTGTTGTAGTTGTTGTTGTTGTTGTTGTTGTTGTTGTTGAACTCTCAGTTCTGAACAAAATAATTATTGTTGGTCCCCCCATCACGGGTGCATGCGGTTTTTCTCAATAAAAATGTGCCCCTCGACGCTCGCACCCTTTTTTGGGGGCAGCGCAAGTCTTGATGCTCAAACTGTGCCCCTGGCCTCCCGAATTATAGCAACAACGGCTCCCGCCTGAGACTTCATCCGAATTTACTCAGGACCCCCGCTCCCGCCTGAGAATTCTCACACTTTACTCAGGATCGGTGCTCCCGCCTGACTTCCTCACAATTTAATCAGGAGCCCCGCTCCCAACTGAAGGTTCCTCGCAATGTACTCAGGAACGGCGCTCCCGCTTGAGACTTCCTCGCAATTGAATCAAGACTTCCTGGCAATTTCATCAAGACCGCCGCTCCCACCAGAGAGCCCCTCACATTTGAGTCAGGAATTGCGCTCGCGCCTGTGATTTCCATGCACTGTATTCAGAAATCGCGCTTTCGACGCTCAAGAAACACGCTGCGCCAAGGACGCCATCACAATTTACTTACGAATCGCGCTCTCGCCATACTCAGGCATCCCGCTTGAATGCCCCACCCGCCCGACCCGCCCGTCAGGGGATCGCCTGCCCGTCGTGGGCTCCCGCCCGAGACTTCCTTCAGGAACGGCGCTTTCGCATAGGACTCCCTCGAACGTTCACGCTCTTACTTTCCTGCTCCTCCTCCATCTCCCTCCTCCCTCCTCCCTCCTCTCCTCCCTTCTCTCTTCCTCCTCTCTCCCATCATCCTTATGCCTCTCTGCCCTATCCTTCTCCCTCCTCTCCCTCCTCCCTTCTCCCTCCCCTCTCCTGCCTCCTCTCTTCCTCTTTTTGTTCTTTCTTTCTTTCTCTCTCTCTCTCTCTCCCCTCTCTTTTTCCCTCTACCTCTTTTGCCTGTCTTTCTTTATTTCTTTCTTTCTCTCTCTCTCTCTGCCTCTAATCAACCGCCCCCCTCTTCGCTCCTTCTGTCCTGGAGTTGTCCCTCTTCTTTCGTCCCTCCCCCTCCCTCCCGCTCTCCCTCGTTCTCCCCCTCCTCTTTTTTTGCAGGGCCCACACCAATTCCAATAGCGGGCACTTGTACGCCCACGAAGGATTGTCCGCCCGTTCAGGTTTGCCCGCCTGTCTAAGCCCGCCGCCCCGCGCAAAGAGAAAGAATCCCCCCAAAGGGGGTGCGATCGCAGAAAAAAAGGGCGGGTATCGAGGGTGTGGGGAACTCGTTTAGAATGACACACGGGCAAGTAAGAGCGAACAGTCTTAGAATGATTGTTGCTGATGCTGTTGATTCACGCTGAATTGTCCGAATACCTAGAACGGGATGAAACCCAGACTCTAAAATTCCAGATCGTTGATACGACTGCTCTTGACTCAGCCAGATCGGATTGATTATAGGGGGCGCGGTCGGAACAAGGATCAGCCTCCGCCCGCCCGCTCGCGCGGAAGTGACGGACGAAATCCATAACATCTTGACGCTTCCCGAAAACGTCGCGAACTCAATTGAAGCATCAATATTAATGAATACAGGTGCGCACCGATATGTACAACACCCGCGATTCCCGCACATGCACCCACATGTGTACACATACGGAACTGAGTTAAACACTCTGCAACGGTCCATGCAGACGCGCATATTGCGTTCTCGCCTTTCCGCTTCCGATGGGCCTTGGAGGCCGCAAGATGGCCCCAAGACGGCCAAGAGGGGCACAAGAGGGGCCCAAATAAGCCCAAGAGCGCTCCAAGAGCGCCCCAAGAGGGCAAAAGACTGCCTTTTTAAGCCTTCCAGGGGGTGGCCTGAGTCCGTTACTCCCGTCTTTTTGAGCTATGGATCCCAAGATCGCCCCAAGAAGCGTCCAACACTCCCATTTTGCAAAAGTCTTTGCTGTCTCTGCAGGCCCCTTCCCCATCCCCTGCAAGGACCCTGCAAAGACCTTGCAAAGAGGGGGCCCTTCTTTTGATGTTTGTAGAGCCTCGAGCCCAAGTTCAAAAAGAGGGCCGGTACGAAATTCAGGTCTCACCCCTCGAAAGCTCAAAGTCCGTGAGGCGCTCCTCTTCCTGCTCCTGCTGTTGCCCTGTTCCTCTTCCTCCTCCTACCGCCGAGATGGTCCCAGGAGGTACTCAGAAGGCCTGCAAGACAAATCGCAGGGACATCAATAAAAGCGCCGCGGCATGGGGACATGTATTCAATCACTCGGCACATCTTCCCGCTGTTTTGGGCGCCCGCTCCGACACGCTTCCAAGACGGCTGTGCAACTGCGTGCTTCCACGCGTCCCTGATTAAATAACTCCCCTGGCAATCGTGTCTGGATCGGCTGGTGGGGATACGCGAGCTGTCAAGAATCAACACCCTTCAACTGTCCATGCAGGCGCGGCCATGCAGGCGCGGATTGACCCGCATTTCGACATACATGCGGGTATGAATCTGAATGCAGACATTGGTGCGCGCACAGTCTTGTGCGCGAGTATATATTTATGTAGGTATATAGGTATACTATACATTTAATGTGTATATGCATGTGCAGCAATGCCAGCATCCGCGGTATAACATGTGGACAATGGCGTAGACATTGGCATGCGAGCTACACTGATTGGATTTACCCGTATTCATATATTGCTTGGCTGGTTTAATGTATATGTACACTTTATGGATCGCATGCGATATGTATATGTTAACATTATAACTAACGTGCGCAAGCGCACATCGAAATGCATCATAAGTAGCTGGAACATCACCTCTGCCAGCGTCTACGTGATCCCGCACCATCTAACTTTACGCGTTTTTAACCGCATGGAGCACATGCCGACTCGGCGTGCATGCGCGTTCAGGTGTTAATGAACACGTAAGGTGGTTACGTGCTGGCCGCATACTTTCCTCGTCGAGGTTACGTCTACATGAGCGGTGCCATCATCACATGCAATGCTCTCTTCCGCCACCAGCATCTACATTGACGTAGCTTGCTGAACGCATGCGAGCATATGCGAAGCTTGTCGGCCCTAGTGCTGATGAGTCCAAAGGCGGCTGAGCTTGGCTTGGCTACGCAGCTATGCTGACATTGCATGCGCTGTTTCCATCTGCGCAATACGATAACAAACATGTGACAATACTATTTCGGTCCAACAGCAGACCAATCGCAAACCTGCGTCAAGCGTGCACCAATCCCGGGGCAGCCCAATAGCAAACGCATTGCAACACTATCGTAACCAATTGACAGGAGCTTCGTGCAGGCTATGACTGGCTGCAAGGTCGCCGAAGGCCCAAGGTTCCATAGATGCCCAAGCGAAGAACGACCTAAGGAGGACAGCCCAAACACAAAGAACATATGACCCTTCCGCTCATCACTCCATCCACTGGCCTCCGCCTGCTCGAGAGCCTTGTGGAATTTCTTGTACAACTCCTGGTCCTGCAGCCAAATCCCGAAGCTGCACAACGTGCGGGACCCTTGCTGCAAGGGGCGCTGCTGCAAAGGAGGCATCCTGCCGCCCTTCAGTGTCTCCGTCGCCCCGCGCGGGACGATCTGCTCACTACCTGCGCTCCCCACGACCTGCTCGCAGAAAGCCGCTGGCGTGATGCTTCTGAGGCCGACCGGGTGCCGACTCTGCGGCACCCGTGCGCAGCTGCTCCAGCCGACTCCCATCGGCCAGAGAGCAGCGATGTTGGAGAGGCTGCGAGGCTGCACGGTGAGGACTCCAGCTTCTGCTGCTGCTGCTGAAGGCTCGGTCCAGCCGGCCCTCCACCGTCTTCCACCTCCCGCAGCCTCGCACTCAATTGAGAATCCAACTACGGACGTGCGGCGGAGGAGAAGCCGCCACGAGGCACTCGGCTCAGGACAAGGCCACGAGCGTGGCTTGAGCAAGACAAGCCGATGCGCCGGAGATATCTCTCAACCCTGCCACCGGATGACGCCCACGATAGCGAGAACGTCCGAATCGGCCATTGGTCAGAATGGCATCTACAGCTAAATGCAAAAACTAATATTCGATCGAGAGGAGGCTGGAGGAGGAAGAAAATATGGAGAGGGGAGCAGCTAGGGAGAGAGAAGGGATGCGAGCGGAGGGCAGATGGAGGAGGGCGCGCCGCTGGATCACCCAAAGGGGGGGGGGGGTTCGGGCCCGAGCCGTGGTCGGCGAACCCCCCCCCCCCCCCCCTGCCCGAGCCGTCGTCGGCGAACCCCCCCCCCCCCCCCCCCTTGCCCGAGCCGTCGTCGGCGAACCCCCCCCCCCCCCCCCTCTCCCAACCGTCGTCGGCGAACCCCCCCCCCCCCCCCCCCCTTTCCCCGGCTCGCGCCCCGGCTCCGGAACCCCATCCCTACCACTCCCGCCCCGACCCCCCCGAACCCCTAACCTCTAACCCAAACCCTGAACCCTAATCCTTAATCCCTAACCCGAAGCCTAAACCCTAACCGTAGACCTAACCCTGACCCCAAACCCTAACACTAAGCCTAGCCCTAACCTAAGCTCTAAACCTGAACCCTTAACCCTAACCCTCAACCCTATCCCTACACCCTAACCCCAACCCTACCCCTCACCCTAAACCCTAAACCCTAACCCTAACCCTAAACCCTAACCTCAACCCCAACCCTGACCCTAAACCCTAAACCCTAGCCCTAAACTCTAAACCCTAACCCTAAACCCTAACCCTAACCCTAAACCCTAACCCCCAAAACCCTACACCCTAAACCCTGACCCTAAACCCTAACCCTAACCCTAACCTCTACACCCTAATCCTTAACCCTAACCCTAACCCTAAACTCTAGCCCTAACCCTAACCCTAAACCTTAACCGTAACCCTAAACCCTATGACCTAACCATAAACCTTAACCCTAACCCTAACCCTAAACCCTGAACCCTAAACCTTAACCCTAAACCCGAACCCGAACCCTAACCCTAAACCCTCACCCTAACCCTAAACCTTAACCCTCAACACAAACCATACCCCTAACACTAAACCCTAACCCTAACCCTAAACCCTAAACCCTAACCCTAACCCTAACCCTAAACCCTAACCCTAACCCTAACCCTAACCCTAACCCCTAACCCTAACCCCAAACCCTAAACCTTAACCCTAAACCCTAAACCCTAAACCCTAAACTGCAAGCCACGGGCGGTGCATCGTCAGAAGCCCGTGGCGCCTGGCCGAGCGATCAGCGAGTCCGCCCATGCGCGCACGCCGCACCGACGAAGCGCGTAGCGCTGAGGAGGATGCGCTCCCCCGCGGGGATGCCTCGTGAGTTCTGAGAGATGACTAGAACCCTTAACCCTAGGCCCAGCCAAAAGCTTCCCCACGGTCGGTCCCATCCCCTGGGGCTCGAAACGTATGAAAATACAGCATGCGGCGCCCTTTCGGCCGTCCGTGGGGCCGCAAACCATATGAAAATACAGTATGCGGCGTCCTTTCGGCTGGCGCACGTCCCAGGCGCTCCCAAGCGCTCCCAGGCGCTCTCAGGCGCTCCCAGGCGCTCCCAAGCGCTCCCAGGCGCTTCCAAACGTTCCCAAGCGCTCCCAGGCGCTCCCAGGCGCTCCCAAGCGTTCCCAAGCGCTCCCCAGCGCTCCCAAGCGTTCCCAGGCGCTCCCAAGCGCTCCCCGGCGCTTTCGGCACGCTCCAAAGCGCTCCCAATGCACCCAGGCGCATGGCGCCCCCAGGCGCTCTCAGGCGCTCCCGGCAAGCTCCCAGGCGCTCCCGAGCGCTTGCAGGTACTCCCAAACGCTCCATGCACGCTCCCAAGCGCTCCCAGCCTGCTCAGGCGCTCCCTGTGCGCTCCGAAACGCTCCCTGGCGCCTCCGAGCGCTCCGGGGCGCTCCGAAGCACTCCCAGGCGCTCCGGCGCGCTCCCAGGCGCTCCCAAGCGCTCCCAAGCGCTTCCAAGCGCTCCCAGGCGCTCCCAAGCGTTCCCAGGCGCTCCCCAGCGCTCCCAAGCGTTCCCAGGTGCTCCCAAGCGCTCCCCGGCGCCTCCGGCACGCTCCCAAGCGCTCCCAGGCGCATGGCGCTCCCAGGCGCTCTCAGTCGCTCCCGGCACGCTCCCAGGCGCTCCCAGGCGCTCCCTGGCGCTCCCAAGCGCTCCCAGGTATTCCCAAGCGCTCCCTGCACGCTCCCAGGCGCTCCCAGCCTGCTCAGGCGCTCCCTGCTCGCTCCCAAGCGCTGCCTGGCGCCTCCGAGCGCTCCGGGGCGCTCGGAAGCACTCCCAGGCGCTCCGGCACGCTCCCAGGCGCTCCCGGCACGCTCCCAGCACGCTCCCAAGCGCTCCCAGGCGTTCCCATGCGCTCCCAAGCGCTCCCAAGCTCCCACAGGTGGTCCCAAGCGCTCCCCGGCGTTCCCAAGCGCGTTTAAGCAGTTCAAGCAGTCCCATGGCGCTCCAAAGCGTTTTCATGCATTCGCAAGCACTCGGCAGCGCTCCCTGGCGGCGCTTCCCGGCGCTCCCCCGCAATGCAGATGCTGCCGCAGCAATGCGCGCGCATCGTAGCGAGGGGGTGCCAGACCCACCCCCTCGCGCTCCCTCTCCAGCCGTCCGAAGCTCGCGCCGAAGGCGGCTCGTCGACAATGCTGTCGCTTCAGCGGGGGCGAAGCCAACGGTCCTGCCCAATGGACAACCCACGGCCCGCACTCGCGGTGCACTCTGCGTGTCCTGTCACGCTCCCAGACGCTCCCACGTGCTTCCATCCCGGGGAAACCTCGAGGCGCTCTCTCAGCGCTCCCAGAGAGCTCCCCCAAGGCATTCCAGAGGTCTGCCATGGAGGTGCTGCAGCAGCCATGCACGCGCATCGTAGCGAGGGGGTGCCAGACCCACCCCCTCGCGCTTCCCTTCCAGCCATGCGAAATTCGCACCGAAGGCGGCTGCGTCGACAATGCAATCGCTTCAGCGGGGGCGACGCCAACGGTCAAGCCCAACGGGCAACCCACGGCCCGCACTCGCGGTGCACTCTGCGTGTCCTGTCACGCTCCCAGACGCTCCCACGTGCTTCCATCCCGGGGAAACCTCGAGGCGCTCTCTCAGCGCTCCCAGAGAGCTCCCCCAAGGCATTCCAAGAGGTCTGCCATGGAGGTGCTGCAGCAGCCATGCGCGCGCATCGTAGCGAGGGGGTGCCAGACCCACCCCCTCGCGCTCCTCCTCCCGCCTTCCGGAGCTCGCGTCGACATCGTCTGCGTCGATGCTTGCAATCGCTTCGGCGGTGGCGACCTCAAAGCAAAACCCAAAGCCGCGGGCGAATGCAACTGCCGTGCGCGTCGGCGTCAGCGAGGAGCCCGACGGCGCGGCTACTCGCTCGAGGCCCGCGGGGTCCCATGGGATTGCCGCGCCAGCGCCCTCGCAGCGCTGCTTTCCAACGCCGAAAGCAAATTCGGACCCCCGTGGATGTGCCGCGCCAGCGGCAGCCGTCTACGACGGCGGCTGCAAGGGCAGCCAGGCCAACGGCAAAAGCCAATGCAGGAGGCCTACTGGAACCAGGGGCAATGCTGCGCCCGCGACAGGCCAACGCCGTAATTCAAAACCTCATGCGGCGACGCCTGGCCTTGAGGCCTCTCCTGTGCCTTCTGATTGCAATGAACACCCGCAGGAGAAGAATTCGTTCTTCGGCAAAGCCATGCGCCAACTGGGAGCCAGCCGAATGCAGCTAAACCCACGGCAAAGATTGTTGGCCATGCGACGACGCTGGCTCTTGCGCCCGCGCAACGCGCTTTGCGCGCGTACCAAGAACGCAATGCCAAAACCGCGTCGTCGTGCTCCCCGCGGAATATTCGCATTCGCACACAACACGAAAGCCCCCCTTGATAGGGGGGCTGGGGGGAGAAACCCTAAACCCTTAAGGGCTTTACTGTGGGTGGTCTGGGGCGGGAGTGCAAGTTCATAGCGCGCGCGGCTTGGGCAGCGATCCCCCCCAACAACCTTGATGTGGGGGGGTCGCAGCCAGCGCGCGCATGCGCCCATGCAGGCCCTAAACCCTAAACCCTAAACCCTAAACCCTAAACCCTAAACCCTAAACCCTAAACCCTAAACCCTAAACCCTAAACCCTAAACCCTAAACCCTAAACCCTAAACCCCAAACCCCAAACCCCAAACCCCAAACCCCAAACCCCAAACCCCAAACCCTAAACCCTAAACCCTAAACCCTAAACCCTAAACTGCAAGCCACGGGCGGTGCAACGTCCGTAGCCCGTGGCGTCTGGCCGAGCGCTCAGCGAGCCTGCCCATTTCCACGTACGTGGCACCGACGAAGCGCGCAGCGCTGAGGAGGAATTCGCACGCCGCGCGTGTACGGCTCCGCTGGTTCGACTAATGAAAGGAACCCTTAACCCTCAGCCCTAGCCTGCGGGTGCCTCGCGACGGGCTCCATCCCCTGGGGCTCGAAACCTATGAAAATACACAATGCGGCGCCCTTTCGGCCGTCGGTGGGGCCGCAAACCATATGAAAATACAGCCTGCGGCGTCCTTTCGGTTGGCGCACGTCCCAGGCGCTCCCCAGCGCTCCCAAGCGCTCCCAAGCGCTCCCAGGCGCTCCCAAGCGCTCCCAGGCGCTCCCAAGCGCTCCCCAGCGCTCCCAGGCGCCCCCAGGCGCTCCCAAGCGATTCCAAGCGCTCCTGGGCGCTCCCAGGCGCTCCCAGGAGCTCCCAGGCGCTCGCCGGCGCTTTCGGCACGTTCCCAGGC